GGAGAGTGGGGCCAGGAGGGGGGGACGACGACGACGACGCCGTACACCCGCCAACTATTTCAGATAGACTTCGCGCCGCGCCTACTCCAGGGGCGGGGGGTTGGGAGAGAACAAGGGAGGAGGAATGAGCGCAGTGGTGCGGGCCGGGAGGGGAGGCCGGGGAGGCCGGGGAGGCGGGGACCTAAGACGACAATGAATTAGAAGTGAGGGATGAGGCTCATTCTCACGAGGCCGCCGGGCCAGCAGCGCCCCGCTGAGCATGCCTGTGGGGCCGACGCCGCAAAATCATATCTCCGACCACCAGAGTGGCAATTATTATTTTAGACGCAAAGATTTTCTCATAGAGATGGGAACTTTCATATATTTTTTTTTTGTTTCCTGTCCCTAAACGAAAATGGCCATTTACCTCCCGTCGCGCGGAGGGGGTAGTTTGTTGGGGGGTGAGTGTGGTGAGGGGTGGGGGTAGGGGGTGCGCGGTTGCGGGGAGAGGGCCTGTCTGTAGCGTGACAGGGAGGGGCGCGGAGCAGATTGGAGGAGGGCGGAGCTGGGGAGGGAAGTAATCCCAGGTCTAATCCGCGTGCAGGCGAGGGCAGACACAACGCCGCAGGTGGCAGCCCTGGCCAGGGGCCCTGGCCACCATGGCGCCACCGCAGCGCAGCGCGGCGGCCAACCTGGATATTGGCAGGAGTTTGTGCCGGGGCCGGCAGGCCTACTACTGGGCCGGCCTCCTCGGCCCCCGGTGGTCCCCCAGGTGTGGTCCAGGCGGGACCAGAGGGGGCCAGCGGGGCCAGCGGCCGAGAGGTTCGTTTGTTCGTTTGCGGGGGCCTCGGTCCGCCACGGAGGGCAGTTGCGGGGAGGAAGGGGCGGACGTGGACGTGGGGGCCTTAGGGAGCGGTGCGGCGGGGGGCGCGGCGGAGGACGCCGGTCCAACGTATGACCGGGCCGGCCGACCCCGCAACCCCCACGACCCCAAGGGGTACCTGGGGTCTCGTCAAACACCCCAACCCCGCGCAGCAGGCCCTCCGACAAGGCCTTTGGCGCACGCAGCACAAGCACACAGCATCACCTGCTCGGCGTCTCGCTCGGCGTCTCGCTCGGCGGCGACAAAGGGGCCCGCAGGAGAACGACACCCGCACCACCGCACCATGCGGCGGTCGCCCTGGTGGTCGCCCTGATGTTCACATCACGGGCGCTTGCACGTC